GTTAACTTAAGCCTTTACTTTATTTAAGAAACTTACTTAAAAATACTCTCTTTAATTATTAAATATTATAATCTCTCTCTTAAATATATTAAAAGATATTCTTATTAAAAGTAACCTATTAAGTTCTCTTATAAAACCTAAAGGATTTTACACTCTAATAGACGTAATAAAGTTACGTTTAGCTATAAAAAAAGCGGATATTTATTATATTAGTAACTTATTATAAGAGTTAATTTAAACTTAATAAACTCTTATTTTAAGCTCTTAATTAGCTTCTTTTATTCTATTATTAAATAACTTAATACTCTTAAATAGCTTTTTATTACTTACTCTTACCTTACTATTAAAAAGAATAATTAATTTAATTAATAATAAAACCCCTTTAAAAGCTTTAAGTAAATAACGTTAACCTATTAACGTTAATTTCTTAATAAAGAAACTTATATACCTCTTAAAACCCTTTAAATCTTCTTCCCTTTAAGGCTCTTCTTAATAGTAAATTAAATCTTATATATAAGTATAATACGTGTATAATATTACTTTTCTTTATCTTATTAAGAATAAGATAAATTTTAAATAATATACACTTATATAATTTAATATATAATACCCTTTAAAAAACGTTATCTTATTAATATATATATTCTTTATTAATTACTTAAGAATAGAAATAATATTTTATTATTAGCATTTAATATAATTAAAATTATTACACGTTTTAAGAGTAAATTAAATTATAATTATAAGAATAAACTAGAAACTCTTATACTTTCTTCTTATTAACCTTTAAAGTAAAGTAATTAAATACTTAAAAGATAGCCTTATAACTTTACCTTTACTCGCCTTATCTTATAATATAATAGTAACTTAATTCCACGTTATATACCTTTTAAAGACTACTTACGTTACTTACCTTCTCGTTAAAATACTTACTTAAATAAACGATTCGCGTGTACCTTTAAGGTAAACCTTCTCTCTTATAACTCTAAAGTAACTCTTATTTTAGCTTATATTAGTTAGTTAAATTAACTAATAAGTAGCTATAATACTTAAGTTATCTTAAATAATATTATACTAAGATTACTCTTTACTTTTACCTTTAATAATTATTAATAGTTTAATTCTCTTAACTTTAAGTTAAAGGCGCGTTTAATATATAATTTTAATCTATAAAAATAGGAATTATCTTAGCGTTTTTATAAGAATTATAATGTAATTATTATATAAGTAAATACTTTAAAGTACTTATTTATTATTAAAGATACCCTTTCTCTTTAATTCTATACTAATTAAAAGATAACCTTATATATAAAAGCTAATAGTTTTAATAAAGATTTTATTACTTATTATATAATACTTAACGTAAACTCTTCTTTAATAAAACTAATAAATATCTTATAAGATTACCTTATATTAAGCGCTATTAAAGCTTAATTATTAACTTAATAATAGGTAGCCTTATAAAACTAAAATAACACTTAAAAGAAAGTGTAAAACCTATAAAAGTCTTTTTAAAATTTAAAGAATATATAATTACGCGTGAACTTTAAACGTTAAGATAACGAGTATTAAAGCTTTTATTATAATTATAACTTATATAATAAATAAGATAGGCTTATTATAAATTAAGATTAATCTTTTTATTAAAGGAA